GGATTTTTTTGCCATCACTAATTTGGAGGGCACTGCACCCTTGGCTGGGTGGCTTAGGCCTCAGTTCACGGTAAAAGATAACACTACATATGCGAGTATTCATGACTTGCTTATGGGTTTGAGGTTAAACGGTATCATGCAATCTGTGTAGAATGTAAATCGATGAGATGTACTCCGGAGAAGAACCAGATTCGTAAGGCAACCATCTAGCAGAAGGCATATTTTTCTGTACGTACGATTGATCATTTTCTTTATCCTGAATTTTTTATTTGAATGAAGCAATGGATGTAGGGGTGTCAATTTGGCTTGTCGGCTTGAGCGGCCTGTGGTTCAGCCCAGGAAAACCTGAACTGACCTGACTCGTTGTTCGGTAGAACCAAGTCGAGGCTCGGCTGATCCCATTTGGGGTCGTCAACCCGAGCCACACAGGCCACGGGCCATTTTCAGCCCGTTACAAGCCAAGCCTTAAAAGGAAAAAAAAATTAAATAAATTTTCAGCTGCCTTGGAGGCAGCTACTATAGCAAGCTTCCAAATCCCAACCATCTTCTCTTCGCTCCACTAGGCAGTAGCCTTACTTTGGGCACTACATGCACTCTAAATATCCTACTAATCATAAATTTTCTTCCACTGTCAGCATAATGTGTCAAAGGAAACCCGCGTGTTCTTTCCCAGTAAGTATTTTGGAGTAATAAATTTCACCACATCATTCAAAAGTTGATTTCATCAGATTATTTTTTGGAGGGAATTTCCTTGAAAGAGGATTAGCTTTATTCAAGATTAATGAATGGGTTTTACAGATAAGGATCTTACATATAACCTTAAAGTGGTGTTATTTAAAAAATGAAAATGAAAGTGCAAAGACACAACTCTACAAAACGACTTCTTTCATATGACACGCATTCATATTGCATTTAAAATGTAAAACATGTCTGTTTCATACAGTCTGTTGATAAACAAATATGTAAATTATGATATACATTTAGCACAATGAAATTTAATTTGGTTGAGAGTTTATCACGTAAGATTGCTAATTAAATTATATTTTTGTGAGAAAGAATTTCAACAGTTGGTATTTAGCTTTGCTGAAATAATTTGTTGGTAACTATCGACGTAGAATTTCATTAGTAGTTCATCAGTAATTATCGATAATTAGTTATTAAGTAGGAAATTACCGGGGAGCTTTCACGAATTATGGACAACAATTTCATCGGAATATTTTGTCGCGGATGCCGCATTTTTACTTTTTAGTATAGCTCTTGTTTTGTAGAGGTTAAAATCAGAATTTTAGTAGATTTTGATAAAAGTTGATGAAATGTGTGGTTGAAAAATTCTGAATTATACAGAATGTATGGTTAAAATTAATTGTTGATTTTAACTTAAAATTTTAATTGATTTTTAACATACAATCTGGAACGTCACCACTCACCGATATTACTTACTTGATGCTGTAACGGAAATTTCTTACACGTGGCACGACACCATTCATCCGAGCAGAGTGCGCACAATAGCAAATGGACCATTACTCCCTGGTGCGCCTTGCGCGGATACACAGAGTCTGAAATACGAAGGGCTTCTCATATATGCAGTCTTGCACCATCTCTCTCTCCAAACCCCTCTTTTCCCTCAAAAACTGAAAACCCTTCTGTTTGCCTCCGCAAATACGAAAAACCATTTCTACGAAGTTCTGTTTAGTGTTTAAATAAAGGTATGTTTGTGTCTGTATGAGGATGAACGTACGTTTAGTTGTTTCATCTAACCATGCAAACGTGATTGTATAATATATATATATGTAAATATATTACACTTTTGTTTTTACGAATTCATCTCCAAATAGAGTCCATTGCTTTTTTTTTTTGGTCGTCAAAATCAAATTTTTTTGGTTCTGTGTTTTTTGGTTGAGAGTTTATAGTGTATAGATTATGGGCTTATTTTTCTGATTCTGTGTTATTTGGCTGAGGGTTTATCATGTGGGCTTGTTAATGTATATGTCCATTTCGTTTTAATTTAATTATTTTTGTTCCATTTGACTTCTTTCATGCATTAAGATCACAAATTTAAAATCAAGATTTCTTGTTAACATTTTAGAAGGATTTATAAAAATGAAAACTTTTCTGTGCATAAATGTGACCCGGCTGCTTATTTGAGTGAGAATTGCGAAAGCTTTTCTGTTCGTGAAAATTTTTAGGTTTTGTAGGAAAGGTACACGACTAGGGTGTCTAAATACACGGACCCGGCCCGGACGGGCCCACTATCCGGGCCTTCCGAGCTCTCATTCGGGCCTGGCCACTGTTGTATGTTTCAAGTGCCTTAATTATATGTTGTGACAACTAAAATCTAAAATGTGAAGTGGTCGTGTGAATTTTTGTTACTTAGATAATATAACATTTTCTCCTTTCCTTCTTTTGATGCAAGCAATCAAGTTACCTGCAAATATGCAAGTAATTATATGCATATCTTTTTAATTTTGTTGCTCAGCGAGAGATGGACTCAAGAACACCTCCTAGTAGAGGGAGTAAGAGGCCTGCTGAAGATTCCAGCTCTGAGAGGGCGAGAAAGAAGCCAAATGAATGTATTAAGAGTGAAGACGATGATCTTGGTGTTGATAAGATTTACAAATTTCGGGTTCTTATGCCGAATGGTGTGACCCTGGGGGTTAAAGTCCGTGCTTTGTTCAATCATATGCCTCTTGACAAGTTTGTTGAAGTTGTCAAGAATGTGTATGCCAAATTTGTAAGACAGACAATGTCTCAAAAGCCGAGAAGAAGAATTAATTGGACGAGTCCAGAATTTCATTTTACAGATGCATATGAGAAAACGATCAGAAATATAGTGAATTTTAAAAATTTTAAGCCAAACGAGTGGCACATAATAAGGCTTCACGTGAGATTCTGTTTTTGAAATCAATTCTAGATCTATTTTCATTTTTGTTTCATGATTTTAATAACTGATGTCTGTTCATTTTGATGTAGGATGGGTCTGATGAAGCTGATACATATGAGGTATTGCATTAAAAATTAATGTTATGTAATTATCAAGTGCCTTTGTGGGGATGCTTTGATTAAGTGAATTATGTGCCTATTTTGGGATTGTTTAATCGTGTAGTTCTTGATTGTTTTGTAGAACATGTGGGACATTACTCCAGATACAGATTTATTGAAGGAGTTGCCGGAGGAGTATACATTTGAAACAGCCCTTGCTGACTTGATAGTAAGCTTGGAATACAGTTTACCCATTCATTCTTCATGAGTTCGATACTAAAGCCTCTCAACTGTTTATCAGGATAATTCCTTGCAAGCTTTATGGTCTAACGAAAAGAATCAGAGAAGATCAATAAGGTATGGCATTCCAATGTTGGTTTGCTTGGTTTTCAAAAATCTCTTGTTTTAATCAAGTTTTTTTACTTTGGTCTTTGCATGAGAAACTATACGTGATCAATAAACTTCAAAGGTTACATTTAATAAGGCTTGTATTATGGCATGTATGATTTGTGATGTAAAGGAAAAATAAGAATTTCTACTTTGGTTGAGAAACTATATCTGATCGATAAACTTCAATGGGTACATTTAATAAGGCTTCTATATGTAAAGGAAAAATTAGAAATTCAACTCTGGTATTTCCTGAAGGATATAGTTTTGGCAAGATAGTTCAATTTTATAATTTTAGTTGAAAGTCTAGGTATCTGGCGGTTGTATGCGCTTTCATCATGTTTCAAACTGAATATTGTGTTGTTCATTTTGATTGAATGTCTTTGACCTATATTTATCTTGGACAAGAGTAATCTCTTGCAAATGTTAAAAGCTGATAAATAATTTTGTTTTATCTCCAGTGTTGATGTGCAAAAGAGCAGAATCTCAATTTTTGACACAGGCCCAGGAATGGATGGCAGCGATGAAAACTCGATAGTACAGTGGTATATTATTAGCTGTAATGAGAATCTTAAGTTTTACTTAGTACAAATATGGTCCATAATTATGGCTTCTACAAAAGTTTGACTCTTTCTTCCCCTCATTCTCTTTTTGATGAGAAAAGTTTGGATGTTTCTAACAGCTAGTTAATTTCTATACATTGTAACCAGGTTAATTTTTATACTTTTGAATCAATGTCTTTATCACGGTTACTATTTGTTCCGAAATAGTAGTACCATCAATGGGAAATATCATTTCTTAATAGATTGGAACTTAATGAGTTATGGGCGCATACTTTTTAAATGAAGCATCTAGCAGTATAGCTATAAGGGAACCTAACCTACCTTTCACGATGACTGATCCTCTTTCTTAATGATGTGCACTCACTTGCCTTTCTTTCACTTAATTACTGTCAGTCTGTATCCACACGATGCCTTTCCCTTTGCTCACTGTCAAGTAACTTCATATGCAAGCATTCATATCTACTGATTGTCACTTCATCAACATTGCCATATATGTCACTGATTGTTTTTTTTCCATGTGTTTTGCTACCATTTTACTTTTTGCAGGGGAAAGATGGGGGCGTCTCTGCACAGATCATCAAGAGGACTCGCCATAGGGGGTGAACCACCTTACTTAACGGTAACAGATTCCTAAAAAATATTGGAATAATATCTATTTAATATGTTAATATTAGTTACCATGTGATCGCATGTGTAGCAAACTCATTTAAAAATTATTGTAGAGTAATTTTTTTAAAATTTTTTTATTGTCTTTATTAATGTCTCTGCAGCCCTTCTTTGGCATGTTTGGGTACGGCGGGGCCATTGCAGCAATGCTCTTGGGAAGGTATGACTTGCATAAGATATGTTATTGCCTTTTTCTTTAATCATGAAAGAAAAGATTTCATACTGGAACAACGTTCATTTCCATTCTTTCTCTTGTACTCTAGGCGAGCTGTAGTTTCCTCCAGGACCAAGAACTGTAAGAAAGTGTACATGTTACACCTGGAAAGAGATGCTTTAATAAGTTCTTCCAGCTCAGAACAAAGATGGAAGGTGGTCTACTTAATTGCAATTTGCTTCTCTTAATCGTCAGTTTTTCTTCCTTTTCTCTTTTCTAATCTTTATTACTTTTAATGAAGGCCAATGGTGGTGTCAGAGCTGCTTCGGAAGATGAAATAGAAAAATCATCTGATGGAAGCTTCACAAAGGTAACTTTTTCTTTGTTATTCTTCTCCTTGTTGTCTAAATAATTCAAATTCAACTTCGGTTATGTATATATATTTTACCTTGTTAAACAGTATCTATTTCTCTATTTTGAACACCTTCTATCTGACAACATATTTATTTAGTGTTTTACTGATCTCATTCTCCTTGAATCAATCCCCTTTGTTTGTAGAAGAATATGTGGAGCAGAGCACATCTTTCCAATTTCCTTAATGACAATACTTTTAATTTATAGTGTACATAATGCTACTTTCAAAACTTCTGGGTTTTTCCATTCATGCAATCATATTTTTAAACAAGGAAAATCTTTTTGAAATATTAAATTCTAGTAATATTTTACTCCTTTGATCTATTTTTGGAAAGAGAGTGAAAATATTATGAACACTGTTTGTGTGATTGTAGGAGAACTTATCTTTTGAATGAATTGCATGGTTCCATAAACTTTTGATGATCTTGCTAGCACTATATTGGATTAGCCTTTCTATGTCATCTACATTTATTGTGGAAGCCTTACCACGACGGCTAACTACAAGAATGTATATTGCATAGAGATTCCATGAAAGTTATGACCGTCATAGAATTGAAATATTTCCATGACGGTTGTTATTACTGTCATGGAATCTTTTATTTTATTTTTAAAAATCCGAAGTGTTTCTATGACGGCTAAACTTGTCACATCATGGAATGCCATATTTTATGATGAACAAAACTTTACACACCATGGGTAGCCACGTGGCCATTTTATAATAACATGACAGCAGTATTTGATGAGTAATTGTTATGTTATTACTAAAGTCTACTCTTCAATGGGATATAGCACTTAATCTATAATAGAAAACCTTACCATGATGACTGAATCTTTACATGCCAAATCTCCATGTAACATACTAACTGTTTACAATCCTTTGAAGTTTGGCGTTTTATTTCTATATGTTCAAGGAATTGAGTTTCCTGCTCCTAAATTAGGTTGGTAATGCTAGTAATAATATTGTGAAATCAGATAGGTTTACTGCAAATATATAATAAGATCTGTTACTTTTATGAGTTCTTTCCTTTTGTCTCGTGAACACAAAATGTTAATTGAGCCCTGGTCAAACTTTGAGTTCGCTTCCATATAAAGTTCGCAAAAAATTGCATGAAATTCCAATAAGGAAGAATCAATATACAGAAATCATTATTTGAATATTTGATGCTACCTCAGATAGTACAACTTGGCTTTGATAGTAACTGCTGTTTACATATTGGCAGGTTGAGATATTTGAGCCTAAAATGGGTACTCTAGACGTATCAATACTCCAGTGCAAGTTGAAGGACATTTATTTTCCTTACATTCAGGTTTTTTGGCACATTGTTTAGCTCTGTTGGTTATTGCTGTCATCTTTAAGAGGCATGAAAGTATAGTGCATTTTGAGTGACTATTTTTTATGTTCTTGTTTAAGCTGGAGGAGGAGATGTAGTTGATAACGTCAGTTTTGTAGTATAAAATAAGCTCTATTTTTTTTTCCCAGTTCAAAGTACTGTTTTTTAATATCTTTCACTTTTTCCTTTTTTTTTTTATAGGTAATCACGTAAATTTTATAAATCAAAAATAAAAGATAACACACAAGGAGTGCATTATCAGGTTAAACAAGATAGAAACGATAAAAAATTCGGCAACCCTTCTATCGGACTAATGGTTGCAGCCTTAAACCAGCTATATAAAGTCAAGTAAAACAATTCTCTAAATTGCTCAGTCGTCCGTATTTGTCTTCTTCCTTACGATAAAAATATTATACGGGCACTTTTATTTCACACATTAATGTTTAAAGCATATTAAAGACTAAACAAGCTATATACAACAAATGGGCATTCACAACGAGTAATATGAATGATATTTAAACAAGTATCTATATATTTAGAATCATTAAATGTTGGAGATATTTATGGTGCCAAAATAATACTTATTCCTTGAAGAAAGGCAACCTGTTCATGTATATGCATTCAAAAGTTTTCGTATGTGCTAGTACATAGATTTTTTTCCTGATATATGAATTGTTGTTGATGAAGAAATGCATAAAGTTGTTTCTTGTATGTTTTATTTATTTATTGTTATTGGACAGTGTGATGAAATGTCTGGAAAAACTGGCCGGCCTGTTGAATTTCAGGTTAGATTTAAGAATCATTGTTTCTCTATTCTTTGATAATGTTTACGTATCCTTGTGATTATATCTTCTTGCTTAAAGCTTTACAAGAAGCACTCATAACTCATTCTTCATATGCCTCATACTTTCCTTATGTTTCTTTTGGAGTAATCCATATACATGGATTCATAGCTTCCACCAAGTGGCTTACAACTGTCTACTTACACATTTATCTAGGGGGAATTTGAGTTTATGAACTTAAATTTGTTTCACAGTGCATTGTCCTATGACCGAGTTAGTGCATCTTTCTATGAAAGGTTTTTTGATTGAGAGTGCAGATTCCTGATGCTGGATCATTATTGGTTTCATACATCATGACAGCGCTGTTTAGCCTGCCCTTTACCTGTAAAACCTTCTTTATAAAATAAGAGTAACTTATTGATGTCTATGGATTTTTGTTCAAGTAGATCTAAATTACCTAGGTGAGCTCTTGTGTGATGTATTTCGTACTTCTCATTGGATTAAGCTTGAGGCTTACATGTTTTGGTTCTGTGCACATTAACGCCTTGTGATTTCATTTAAACTTTGAGATTTTATGTAGGTCAACGAAACCGATTTAGCTGTAATAGAAGGAGGAGAGATTGCTACAACAAACCTGAACTCCTGCAACGGTCCTGATTTTGTAATGGAACTTCAGTTTAAATTTAATATGGATACAACTTCTACAGTTGGTCAAAGTAAGCCCTTTTTTCTGTCAAAAAGGTTGTCATATAAAATATAGGCTTATTAAGCATGATCAATGTACATGTTTCCTTTATTCTACAAGAATTGTTAATGTTTGCATTTGAATTCATTAGGGGAAAGAATAATCCAAGAAGCAAATGCAAGGCTGAAGTGTGTCTACTTCCCAATAATTGAGGTACTACTAGGTTTTTAATTCTTGGCCTTTGATTTATGGAACTCTGTTAAGTCTTTTCACCCAAATATGTGTTTGGTTGATGACAGGGTAAAGAGAGCATTGAAAAGATTTTAGACAAGCTGAAAGAAGATGGGCTTGGAACTGGAGAAAGTTATGAGGGATTCAGTCGGGTGTCTATTCGGCGGTTAGGTCGACTACTGCCCGATGCTCGTTGGGTTAGTTGATCAGAATTTTATATTTCTTTTTATCTGAAATGCAGAGTCATTTTAGTTAAATTTTCTTTTCATTTTCACAGGCTTGGCTTCCTTTCATGGAGCCCAGGCAAAAAATAGGTGAAAGGGCCCAAATTTTGAAGAGATTGAGCTATAGAGTGAAATGCTTCATAGGTAAAAGCTTCTAGTAACTTAATAAACCTATCACTACCTTAGAGTATCCGCAATTTTCAACATACTTGCCTGTATCAAATGTATATTCTCATCGAAAAATGTTGTGTTTGCAGATATGGATGCTGGTTTCAACCCAACACCTTCAAAGGTATGAATTTTCATTAACATCCTAAAATTTGATGCTTTAATTTAATTAATAACTCTCATTTGACCCAACAAATTTCAATGTTTTTTACGTAGCTTCATTTGGTTGTGTCTTCCAGACGGATTTAGCACATCACCATCCTTACACCACTGCATTAAAGAATTTTGGTAACAGGGCACTTGATATCGAGAAAGGTAATGCTGTTGGTTAACCGTAATGTGGGATCTAAATTTTGTTGCTTTGATTTTCGAAAGAAAGAGAGAAGCTGGTTTCTGTATTTTATTTTGAATCTGAACATCATACTTCTAAGCAGAGGTACAAATCAAAATATATAGATCTGGAAAGATATTGACCCCTTCTCAGCTGGAGAAACAGTATCAAGATTGGATTTTAGAAATGCACGATCGTTATGATGAGGAAATTGATAGTGGCGAGGACCAACCCACATTAGTCGTCGTTCCTCAAAAGAACAAAAAGCTTGGCATTTCTTCAGATGGTACACTTAGATAAAAAAATCTTATTGCTGCCTTATATCCTATAATTACATAATTTTAGATTCAGACACATTTCTATTTAATGCTTTTGCGTGCTATGCAATAATAAATTTATGATTATCTGGTGATACACATGGTTAAACTCTTAGTTGTGAGGATTCATAAAGTGATAAAGCGGAAAGGAACATCCTGGGAAGCAGGTCAGAAGATTAAAATTCTGAAGGGTGCATATGCTGGATGCCACAAGACCAATGTGTATGCTACATTAGAATATATTGTCCTTGAAGGGCTCCAAGGGGATTCTTGTGGTAAGTGCACATGATTGACAAATGATTGTTGCAATTTTAATAGTCTGGTGTACTTTTTATATGTAATTTGAAGGATATCCACTTGCTGAGAGGCAATATCTTAAGTGAGTTGCAGATATACGATGTTTTATTTTGGCATGAATGTACACCATACGTTCATTAGGTTTTTAAAAAAAATTCCGTATGTATCTTGATCATAACTAGAACTGTTTAGGACTTTATATAAATATATTTTCTATTACTCAAATAATCTAATCATTTTATTAAATTATTGTAATAGGCGAGGCCCGTTTAATTTGCAGGTAAGTCATTTTCTAAATTCGCTGATTTAAGGGATTTTGGCATCTAACTAAAATTTCTAACAATCCTTTCATTACTGCTACTGATAGGCCACTTGGTCTACCAGAGGACCAAGGTTGCCTCCTTTCAGTTGACAATGGAAATAACTTCATAGACGTTCGCGGTTCTCTGTCGTTACCGATCAGTGTGATTGATTCTGAAAAGGTTAATTAGTCATTCAGTTTAACATTGTCGGTATTCAGATTTTTCCTTATTTTTCGGTCCATCAGGAGACGTTTTACTAGCTTATTACGCCAAAATGTTTCTAAATATAGCGTCCTTGAATGCAGTGTATTGCCATTAATGATACCGAGTGGGAGAACCAAATTGAGAAAGCATGTCAAAAATCGCCTTCCATAATTGATGTACTGAGCCTCTCCAATTGTCAAGAATTGGAGGTTGATGGGGTTGGTTGAAGCAGTTTATTTTTCTCTACTTCTGAACATATTTTCTTGAGATATCATTTCTTGATTCTCAGTACGAATCAAGCTAGATTTCCAAATTACCAAGAATGCAGCAAGTAGATAAATGAAGTTTTTAGTTACTATTCTCCTAGATAAGGACAATTGAGTTCAGCTGTTTTTTTCTACCATTTGCCTTGGTAAATCTTTTTCAAGCTCATTTTATGGATTCATAAATCAGGCATGCTGTATAGCATATTTGGAAACTAGCTTGATTGTGCTCGAAAACGTTGAAATGATGTGTTAGAATCCTGATGAAAGTCCATTAGAGTCATGATATTCAAAGATCTCAGATGATTTGTAAACAGCTTATATTACAAGTTGGCTACTTGTAATCAACACACATTTTAGCATTAATTTGATAATAATCTACTTGATAAAAGAGCAAAGTTCATGCTGAAAGGAAATAAATGCATCCACACTTAGTTTGGTTTTTCTCAAACTTTCCCCTTTAAGCTATGACAAGGAAGAAATGGAACCAATTCTATTATATTTATGAACGTACTTTTTTGTTCATTGCTCAATGTTATCTTCCTTTGCAGGCATTACCTGTTGATGACATAGAAGCCGGATATGCTCTTCCGGCAAAAATCATTGCAGTTGTTCGTCCAAAGGCTTTCAATTCTAATAAAACCCCCGAAGAATTGAACCAAAAGTTCATTGTTCGAGAAAATTTTGAAATGAGTTTGGAAGTCAAATTCCAGCCTGATGACGGGACTGTTGGAAGTGTTAATCATGTTTATTCTGGGAGAGTAACCCCTTCATCATATAAGGGGTTTCATGGTTTGTACTTATTTCCTGTGGGATCGAAATTATCCCACTTATTTCAGAAAGCTGGAGTATATACGTTTTCATTCTCTCTTGTAAGTAATATACTTTTACCTGGTCTTTTCTTTTAATACAAGGGATCCATCTCTGATCCTGTATTTGCTACATTTGGATTTTTATTTGTTAGAAAGAGCTGAGGGAAGTCCGTTGTAAAAGACGAGTGCGAGTAAAGGCATTGGCTGAGGTTGATTGTTGGAAAGTTTTAAGTGAGAAGCACAAGGATATTAAGATAAGGTAAGTTGCCTATCTCTTAAGTTTGTGATCCATATAATTTATTGGGTTTGCCCAGATTAATTCTTTCTGCTATTGCTGATTTACTACAAAAAATATCTTTTATAGTTATTACATCTTTATTCGTTCATAAAATTGTGGAACTTCACTTGTTTTCTTTGTTATATAGAACGAGCATACCTTCTATCTTATTTACAATGATAATCTTGCTGGACTGAATAAGCATAATTATTGGACAGGATTGGTTCGCATTTCCCCTCTCTATTTGTAGCATGCTATGATAGATATAGCAACCGTATTCCATTCACTTGTGAGCCAGAACTGACTACCAGGCTCAGCTCAAACAGCGGTTTTCTTGCTCATACATGTAGTATGGACGTGGATTTAACACTTGATAAATTAACTATGGAAATTAAGGTAGTTTTACTTGATTTCTGAAACTATTTTGCTTATACATCTTATGCCAAAATGCCTCTACTCAAAAATAGGTCACTCTGTAGGATATCTCGGTGATAAGCAATGAATTGGATAAGATTTGGCCAAGTTATGAGGCCTCATTTATCATAAGCTCTCTAGATGAAAAACACTCGGTGGCTATTGCGTGTCAAGGTATTCTAAATTGTTGTAGAAACTAATAATGTAAGACGTATACAAATTAATTGTTTTATTTTACTCTTGATATTCACTGTTTAATTTCTCACCCAAACAACTCTACGGTTAGTCGTTCCTGGGGCTCCACAAAGCGTCAAGGTAAATCCAACAACATCAAGCGGAAGATTGCTTCCAGGACAGATAATCAAAGAACTTGTATTAGAGGTATGCCCTTGGTCATCGTCGTGGCCCATTATTATTATTCACCCTATGTTTATGTATGTCACAAATTCATACTTATTATTCAGAAAAGTTTGGAAAAATATTTCACCGTGGAAGATAGTATCATTTTTGTTTTTGTTGATGCAAGGTAAGATTCAAAAACAGGAAAATGTGAGGAAGAAAGAAGGGGGAATAAATATGTTAATTTGGAGCCTTATTGATGATTGGTATCTGCGTGTTAATTTTATGAGTTTCAATTCTCATGTTATAGGTAGATGGTCAATTAATTATTTACAATATTCTGTAGTTTATAAACACTTTTCTTTAGATATATCCACATCAATATTGTGCTTGTACTCTTCCATTTTTGTTTTGACATCTCTACGAAGTTATTGGCTTGATATAACGCATTATTCTGCATTGACAGTTTAAATTATTTCCATTATGCAGCTGTTTGATTCATACGGTAATCATATCAAACAAGATGAAGTTATCCAGTTGAATGCCGATGGGTTTATTTTTCTAGATAAAGCCGGACATGTTTGTAAGGTAGGTCAAAACAGGCATTGTTTACTGGTCTTTTAAAGCATAGTGGAAGATCTTCTTAGTATTCTTAGTCTCATAGGTTGACCAAGGGGCCACTCTTGCTGGAACAAAAATACTTGTCCGAAAGTAAGAAGTAGATGTCAAAATATATTTATATTTTGTAGAAATCATTTTGAAGTTTTGAAGACTAAATTTTACATTCTCCAATAGCTCTTAAGCTTTTGGATTAGTTCGATATAGTAGAAGAGCAAATAAGGACACTGGGTTCAATCCTCAATCTGACCGGTATATGAAAATTATGAACAGTACACATGTCATGCTTTTAAGAAAAAAATAATTCAGCATGGACGTGAGGGGACAAGTTGAAGACTAGATATAACACTTTCTAACAGTTTGAAGTCTGATGCTATTTTTGAGTGTGGCATAATCCGACTCATGTTGGAGCATGTCAAAAATTTTCTAAGATGAAGTAAATAAGAACTATTTTATGGCATCACTTAGAATACTTATTATCAACTCTACTGAGTTAAGTTTTCTCATCTTTCAAATATTCAAATTCCCTAACTATGTCTTCTTTTACTGACAGGTAGATGATCGTGGGTGTGTAGACCTGAGCGGCAGTTTAAAAGTTACTAAGGGATACGATAAACATGGTATGCAACTTCTTCCTTTGGTTTTGATCCACTTCTAAATATGCAAATGCATGCTCCTTCATCTTCCAAACATGATGGTTCTGAGCTTTGTGCTCATTTGCCTCATCTTTTTTTTTTATTATTATCTCTTAAGAAATGTCCATATTTGACTTTGGGATTGTGGAGAAACCATTTGAGCCATTGTTCATAATTTTCTGTGTACTTTTGCCTATCTGTCAACCTCAAATGTTAATTGGTGGCTTTTGAATCAGGCGTACTTTGTTTGTTCCCACAATGTAATAATAAGTCTTTGCCCTCCCTTTCGTTTACCTATATATTGGAGTCCCGTTTGAGCTTTAAATTCCTCACAATTTCAGTGGTAGCATTTGACAGCTATCTTTTTGGCTAGCTTCGATTTCGTTGGTATCGCTCAGAAAAAATACTTCGGAAGTATTATGTGTTAGGGATTGAGAACAACTCTTTTATGTTTTCCTTTACTATTAATAATTTTTTTCTCATATTTATCTGTGATTGTGGGCCAAGTACTTTGAAATGATTTTTACGGTTACATTTTAGAAAAATTATGTTCCTCTGGTAATTGAGTTGAAAATTCTTTCCGCGTACAGTTTCCCTTTCTGTACTATTACAAGAGAAAGTCATCTACAAGTTAGAGTTTCGAACTGAAATGAGAAGGCTGACAACATCTTCAACGGTTTGTACACTTTTTCTTCTTCATTGTTTCTTCCTCTTTTCCACTAAGAAAATATCTGAACAGTCCAAGCTTTTGAAACATAATATACTTGTATGTTTCCTAAATATCAGGTTCTAAAGCGGTGTGTTGCGGGTTCTCAACTGGACAATCTTGTATTTAAGATCGTGAATTCTGAAGGAGAAGTGGATAGAAGTATCCATGGTGAAGATGAGCATGGACAGTTTCATACTCTCATGTTAAAGTCGGATTCATTTGATGTTGATGATTCTGTGCGCTACAACTTCCGGCATGGACAATGTTGTATTCGCTCTATTCGTCTCCCTCAGAGAGCAGGAATTTTCTCCTTTACAGCTGCTCACTCTTGTTATCCAGAGCTAAACTTAAATGTAGAGGTTGCAACGTTTCCTAAACCTTATTTCTTTTTTAATGATAAAGAGTCGTATGCTTATGTGTGTGAATACTTTTATGTAGATTCATGTTGAGCTGGGCATAATGGAAAATATGGTCCAGCTGCAAAGATCAATTGGAAATACACTGCAGCTGCAGGGATCACCTTCCTTAAAGGTTCCCAAATTGGAGCAGAAGCAAGAAAATATCTCGCCCCAAAGTTCAGTTGGAAAATTAATGGTTTTCTATGATTCACCTTCATCGAAGGTGCCAAATGTGAACCAAATTAATCTCCAGAGAGAAAGCTCACATGGAAAGATATCGTGTCTTCAGGACTCAGTGACTTCTGAGGATCGGGGAAATTCATCTGGGAGCATTGTACTTCACCAAAGGGTATTCTGATTCACAAAACCTATATTTTAGAGGTGTTACCTGCATTCAGCCTATTATAAAATAAAATTTTAAAAGCCTAAACTTGGGCACTACCATTACAAAAACTCTTTAGAGAAATATGTCATTTTACCTATTTTACATTTCTTTTCTATTTGTGAAAGAGAATTTTCTCTGCAGGAGCTCGAGGAAGATCTTTGCAAGTATGGTTTGTGCATTGGTGAGCTTGAAAGGAAATTGGAATGGATCAAATATCGGAAGTCTCAAATTCAAGGTTTTAGCTTTGATAACTTTGATCTATAGCTATACTCAATTCTAATCCATGTCATCCTTAGACCGGTGTGGGATTCATAATCTATCACTTGCTTACGTTTACGAGATTTTTCTAACACTATTCAATAAGCATGGCATGATCTCCATCAAGGTTAAAATTTTGGATGTTCTGATTATTTTTTAGATGCTACTTCTTTTATCCGTGCGGTGAGTTTCACAAGTTTTATTCCGGTAAGATACGCCTGGTCACACACTGTTTTTATCATTTCCCTTCACTTCAACAGGTTAGTTTCACTTGTTTCCTTAAAATGTTCCTCTTTGACAAATCATTTGTGACACTATCAAAAAAAATTTAGACGTGATTATTTGAACTCTTAGTGCACCTTTGGTAAGAGGTCTAAAAGCTTGTTTATCGTTGTCGAGCCATCTATAGTATGGCATACCAAACATGCACTTAGCATGTTAATCCAAACCTTTTTTTATTGTGGATTTTTCAGCTGTAATAGAAGAAAAACAAATGGAGCTTAGAGAGATAGACAACGAGTTTGATGAAGAGAATAGAGAGTTGCAAAGAACTTTGGAAACATTTCATAGCAAGCGAGATAGGTACGCACAATTCTTGAATGAAAATGGATCTGCGCTTCGGAGCTCAGAAAACAAGTCGTGCAAGAATGAACGCGATGATTAACTGTGCTGGTCTAGCTTTTGTTTACGCACAAGTTTATTCTATATATTTGCCATACAACTTACTTTCAGTATCCAAACTACCGGATAGTAATTTTAAACTTGCAACTTGTTGGTTGATAAAGGATTAACATATGTTATATATGTCATATCAAAAAAAAAAAATATGTTATATGTGTGTGTTTGTGTTTGTGTGTGTGGTCGAGGTGAAAGGAACAGGTTGAAGAATTGTTTTAAAGATAATATATGGGATGGTTTGAATTGAAGAATGCATTTTGCAGCTTTCAAAAGTTTTCAAGACTTGAGACAATATATTGGCACCTTATATGGGCATATTTAGAAGAATGTTTTGTATTTTACATGTAATATTGATTAGGATGATTGTAAACTAAATTTCTGTGCTTCGACTACAGCATTCGACGACAGGTAGTTTTACAGCTAACCAATGCTCAGATAAAATTTAAAGTATAAATAATCTAAAAGATTTTATATTGAAATATATGAAAGAAAACTAATCGAAGATTGGATTATGAAATCTCATCAAGTCTCCCATTTGCTATATTCCAACAATATAAAACCATCACAGGTGAGTGTTTGCATTATTGATGTTCGAATGGGGATTAAAGAGCACAATGGAAGTGGGGATTGTGGCGGAATGAAAAGTCAAGATGAACTTTTGAAATCTGAAAGTTATTTTGAATCCGTTTGATTTATTTTGTGAAAGTTTTATTTTTTCTTTTTTAATTTGCAACTCAATTCTATTTGTTTATAATTTAAACTATTTGTCGACATTTTCCAAACAAGTTTAAATTGATTGTGGTGGATTTTTGAGCTCTCCCACGTGTTAAAGGAATTTGGTGTGTAGGCAAAGTCGACATTCGTGCCATTTAATCAAGGTAAAGAAGTGGAGAGGGTGGTTGGAGCCAATGAAGATGAGTTTGAGAATATCTGAAAGCACCAGAAGCCAAATTTTCCCTTCTAGTTTTTATAATAGTAAATTAGACCCCGTTTGAGCCACCTTATTATCTCATTAAAATGAAAAATATGATCGTTATTCATCACATTAATATTTAAATTCAAATTTTTTATCTCTTGTGTGGGCCCCAATAACGACTATATTTTTCATTCTCATTCTATAATAATTTGACTCAAATAGAGGCTTGGTAATCGTAACAATTTCAAATGGAAAATAAATGCTAAAACAAGGATACAATAGTAATTTTACTCAAAGTTTGACATCTTAACGGTCAAATCAGTGTTTTTTACTATAAAAGGATCTCTGCTGTACATACATTTGAAAAATTTGGGACCATGACTACTTAAAAATAAAAGTTGAAGACCTCATCGTCAAATGGTTTAAAGGTTAGGGACCAGTGTTCTTTTACCCTAAAAAGGAGCAGAGAGAGCACGCTGTAAAACTCTGTAAAATTATGAATATTCTCACTCTAATGGTAACACACTCCCCCTTTTCTCTCTCCATAGTGCTGTCTCTCACTACACAGTAGAGCCATCGACCGGCGACTGGCGTGCTCGGCGGATACCGGCGGAGAATCTCGATGGACGTCCCGCCCCAGGTGCTCCACTTGCCTGTTTTTCTTCTTAAATATGATTAGCTTCAATTTTTTTCTCGTAAATATTTAATTTGTAAGTGAAAAGGGTTTGAGTACTTTTACAGTTTTTCCTAGACAGCTACGAATGTTCTTGTAGCACTAGAAATTTGAAAACTGGTCGTGCATGTTAGGTGTATAAGAGTTGAAATTTATGATACGAGAGTGAGGATTCAGGGGTTTTAGAAATGTTTAGACGTGGGCCGAGAAGCTGATACTAAGATTTTTGGTATTACATATTTTTGTGTGGAAATTGTTGTTTTATGTGAAAAAATGATGGAATCTGAGGTTTATGCGAAAACTCTGCATCAATATAGGGGAATTTGTACGTGAAAAATGAGTTTGACTGATTTTCACGTTTTTTTATTTGTGAATGTTCTTGCAGCATTAGAAATTGGGGATCCAGTCATTCATGTGAGTGTTTACAAGTGTTGAAATTGATATTAGAGGATTGGGGTTTAGGGGTTTTAGAAATGTTGGCACGTGGGCAGAGAAACTGAAATCTTGACTCTTTTCGTGCTTATGTTTACATATTTTTTATGAAATTGTGGTTGTTTTTTTTTTGCGATAACCGTGGATGTCCGGGCCAGCTTACGCGCACTTCGACTAATTCCACGGGGCCCTGAAGTTTATGGCCGGGTACTCACCTCAGTGGCCTGAGGGGATTCGAACCGGTGACCATTGAGGAGCAAACCTAAGGACTGACCAATTGAGCAACCCCTCAAGGTTCTGAAATTGTGGTTGTATGTGAAACATTAGTGGAATTTGAGGTTTATGCAAAATTCAGCCATTATAGGTTTTTGAAAATGTTAAAAATGTGGGCATGGGTTTTATAAATGTTAAATGTGGTATGGAGAAAATGAAATTATGACTCTTTCGGTGCATGTTTTTACATATTTTAATTTTTTTGGCTATTGTGGTTGTATGTGAAACATTAATGAAATTGGAGTTTTATACCGGAATTGTGTATCAATATAGGGGAATTTGAATTATCTAAACGACATTTTGGAAATTATGACTTTTGTTGAATGGATCTTGAGTTGGGTTGTTAAACTAGAACTTTTATATTTTTGTCAAAGTTAAGATTTTCTTGAATTGGATTTCTTTGTCTTTCCCTGTCTTACGCCAGCCTCTGATGCGATAAATTTTACTATGTTTCAAAATATTATATTTATTTCTCTTTTTTTAGGTGGGGGTTGGGGGGGTGGTCTATGGATTACGAGCACAAGATTATGCCTCCGTACCTTATGCTTTCAGCCTGACTTAAACCTTTATCTACTTTTAATTAGTATTGGGGTAACGTTACTCAGTGTGGAGAGAAGCTTATGGTGGCTAATGGCTCCTTGAGATAGTATTACTGTTCAAGATTCCTTACCATGATGAGATGAACAAACAATTTCATTACCCTTGTTTATGGGATGGAAATAGCTATTTGAGGACCATAATGCGAACTGGGTTCATTAGAAAGTTGCATCTGGTTTTGCTTATGTTTTTTTTTTTTTACTTTCCATCAGATTTTAAATGATTGGACGCACTTCATGATCAAGACACGTGTGAATTTTGTTATGTGCATGCGAAGTTTATATTTTTCTTACTTTCCATCAGCTGTTACATGATTGGACACACTTCAGAATCTAGACACCTGTGAATTTTTTATGTGCATGCTAATCTTTTTATTATTATTATTCTAAAACTTAGGGTGGTGCTTAATAGAAGTAACAAGTGAGGATTGAAAAATTCTTAAACCGACTTAAATTTGTCTCTGAATTATTAATACAATAAGGAATGTTTTAAATTTTAATATCCCCACATGTATGTTTGAGTGCTTCCTGAATAAGTACTGGCATTCAAACGTAAGTGACACTCTTGTTTTTTCCAGAATGTAATCAATACGAGGGAATCGGTTGTCTCATATCCATCAGCATTGAGGCACGCTGGTCAGAATATGGTTTCAGTGGAAGACATGCAAAATGTAATTCATAGTCAGCAGGCAGAATATATAGTCAACTACTCTAAGGTTGTCCTTACTTTCCCAAATACCGGTTGGATTTTTGGGTGAAGATATTAATAAATTTATGTCGTCTGTATCAATTAACCATCTCCAGTATAACCCTATTGCTCGAAAATGATAACCGAAGTAAAACAAGTTGATTTAATTGTTGCAGAAACTTCAGGAAGATGTACTTGCATTAGGTCAAAAAATTAAGCATTACGAAGACAATATCAAGTGCTTAAAGGCACAGCAAAACAGATTGGAGGAGTCAATTTTAGATATGCAAGGTACCTGTGTTTCCAAATTTCATTACACACTCTTCTATGTTTGCAAAAGGAGAGTTCACGTAAGAATTTTAGTTATGCTGTTGATTATTTGATATTATTGAATTATATAATACAAAGACAAAAACTTCTTGGTGCTTCAGCTGTAATCTCGCATTTCTAATGTTATTGAGGGAGCACACGGCATACGCTGCCGTGCTATTTTCTGAACTTACTAATGGAAAGGCTATTAAGTCATTATGGCTGTAATTAGCTGCGTCTTTGGCTCCTTTTGAGTTTGGATACTGTCCTGGTTCTATTCTGTCTTGTTATGTCTGAATTGCATTTTGAAGTAATTATCTGCTGCTATGTTCATCTAGTTGCTCTTGGCAAGAATCATATAGAAAATTGCGCAACAGAAAATGTGAACCATGTCCATATGAAGAGTGAGGAAGATACAATTGAACATATTCTTAGGCATGAGAAATCTGCAGCTGCCATCTTGTGTCAGCTCAAAACTCATGAAGGAGATCAGGCTTCCAATCTTCAATGGACAAAGGATATAGTCGGTATTGTTGCTACACTTGGAAAAGTTGATGATGATAACCTTAGCAGGTTGGTTCAATTCTGCAGTTCTTGTTCTCTCTTTCTCCTTTTCCTTGTGGTAATTTTATCAGTGCCTTAAACTATGGTGTTGATATACTGGATTATCTTAAAGTATCTTAACATTGGCTTATTGCAGGATATTATTTTCTTTCAAGTGTGATTTGTATTCTAGAATCTCGTTTTTAAGAGTATCTATAAATGACTTTCTGCCCGTTTTCCTTCTTTATGCCAGTAAGTACTGATTCTTAATCACAAGTGGCATAGATCCTGGAATCCGTGTCATTGATTTTAAACTAATTAAAAGTAAACTCACTAGTTTGTGGATGATGGATGTTAGAAAATTAGTCAAGAAATGTGGTAAAAATTATACTGTTGTTATACATGGCTGACGTGTTCTTAAATTCTGGAACCTAGGCTTCTTTCCACGTACTTGGGGTTAGAAACCATGCTAGCAGTAGTTTGCAAGACCCGTGAAGGTGTTAAAGCGCTGGAAACATATGACAAACAGGGTTTGATAAATAGAAGTTCGGGCATTCATGGACTTGGATCTTCTATTGGGAGGCCTGTGGATGGTCCCTTTCTGGTGTTTTGTCTTGAAAATCTGAGGTGTGTGCTATTTCTGAGCTCATTGTTTTGTTGATCGATCAATTAGCTTTAACTCACATTTTAATTTATTCTCACTTTTATGGGTGTGGTTAGTCCATATGTTGGTGAGTTCGTGGCTAAAGACCCACAGAGGAGGCTTGATCTTCTAAAGCCAAGATTTGCCAATGGGGAACCTCCATTAGGCTTTCTTGGTTTTGCAGTGAATATGATCTCAATTGATAGCTTGCACTTGCATTGCATCTCAAATTCTGGGAATGGACTAAGAGAGACACTATTCTATAACCTCTTCTTGAATTTGCAAGTGTACAAATCAAGAGAAGACATGCTGAAGGCCCTTCCTTGTATAACTAATGGAGCAGTATCTCTTGATGGTGGGATGGTAAGAAGACCTGGGGTGTTCTCCTTAGGCAATCGGTAAAAAATTTGACTTTAATGCAGTGTTTGCCAATATCTTGCTAAAANTCACCTGCTTACTTGAGCACATCAGAAATAATTGTCAATGTTCAAGTACAAATATTATTTTGTTGAATATAAATTCACCTTCAGTTTTTTCTGATTTAAGGGGAGTTATTGACGTGAAATTCCCAAAAAACTCTGAAGCGTTGAAACTACGTGAGAACTATTTTGAAACTGAAAAGCGAATGAAGGAGACAAAATGGAGGAAGGAAAGAATGTGGGAAGATATGCAGAGGGAGCAGGCATTGTTGGAACATGCAAAGTTCAACTATGAAATAAAGAAACAAGAATTTGTCCAGTTCCTTGGTCAAAGCTCACCATACACTGCTCAGGTAATGCCTCAAACATGTCCATTAGCAGCTTATAGCTCTCCTGCTTTATGAATTTTGACATTTAATATCAAGCATACAGTAGAAGTTAAATTTTCATTAAGCTGATGTGTGCTGATTTTTAATGCATTCTACTGGCTAATAGCTATGGGTCAAAAGAACGCTCTATCGATGGTTCATGGAGGGCAAGTGTATATTTTGGATGACTTCAAACTGGTTATTCTAATTTGAAATTCAATTATTCTAAATCTAAATTGTGAACTTCTTTCAGAAGCATGGATATCTTGTAACTTGTGTTTTAAATAATGTCATAATTGCAACGGTGGGTTGTGGGAAGGCCAAAACCTAAGCAAGCGGTAGATCAAGTAGTTGCAAAAGATAGACAACTTGTAGTTTGATGAAGAAACCATTCCTCGAGTAATGGAGAATTAGGAATTATGTGGTGACTCCAAATAGTCCATAAGGGCTCTGTCAAGTCTCTCGGTGACCTCAAGATACTCTTACAAGTAACTGATGGAACAATTGAGATGCTTGCTCAGTTCCACCAGTCTAATCATGAATATCTTGTTATACAGTTTTTTCTGTATGTAATCAACAAAATAGGAATAGTGTTCTTTTCAGTGACCATATGATGATCGATTTTTTATTTTTTTATTTTTTAAGGAACTAAAACTAGCTAACAGTTTCTATCTTGACCTTTATTTCTTGCAAACTATTATTTTAGAAGTCTATGTACCTTTCAAAGTGTGTCTGGCTCGTTGGACTGGACTGGACATTGTACTGAACCACATTTTAGCTTCTTTTTCACTCTTGAGACCATATGCAATATTATCTGGTTCACTTTACCGAAGACACCTTAGTGTTTGTCTGGTGCAACGAGTTCTGCCATTTTGTTTTGCATCCAAAACTAAAAATATGGTACCTCTACGTGCAGCATCCATATCAGGCAGGACAATCGGCCCCAAAATAATGACCTCGGGGAAAACAGAACTCCAGCAGCAGCAGTGAGAATGGAAGCTACTAAGTAATTTCTGACATGTTTGTGAGTCGCTGATCACTTTTGCTTCTCCGTATTTAAATTTTATACGGCTAGATTAGCTAAGTCACTCGCCATCTATTTGTTTCTCATTGAATTAGGTATTTTCTCAAGTCTGTGCTGTAAATGATGTAGGCTTTCCTTGGAGCATGATCTCATTGTCATTAACTCCCTTTTGGCTTTTGGTATGTTGCACTGGCAGTACGTGATTATTGTAGAAAAAGAAGTTAAAATCACGTCTACTATTACACGGTACTATATAGTCTAGTTCAATATTCCCAGCATGCTCTTTAGGTGTGCGCAATATATCTTGTTATAGACTTAATAGTGTTTGAATGGAGCCAAGATAACTGGCAAATTTTTCACGAAATTCAAATTTTTTTTTTTATTTCTTTTCAAGGCTGGAATGGCAAGGAACTTGAGTTTTGAGTCCAAGTTGGATCTGATTCTACTTTCTTGAAAGAATTTTACTGTAATAGTTCGTACCCATCAACTGTGACCCATTGGGATTAGCTTTAAAGTTCTGTTAAGTTGATCGAGACTTACTTTTTAAAAAGGTAATTTTATCAATATATAATTAACTTTCAAAAACTGATGTTTGATGACTTTTACTCCATCTTAAAGCCTAGCTACACATCAATAATGTCTTTTAATAAAATTTGGAGTTGAGACATAAATTTTCATCTATACCCTTTGGAGTATTCACGTTGGCCCTATCGAGGCCCAACCAAATATGTGTTAAGAGACATGGCTGTCCATACAAATTGGATGAGTCAAATCATCGTGACACTGCAAGGAGAGTTTTGAATAGTCCATTAACTATGTAATAAGGAAATTCTCCAAACTCTTGAATGCAGTCGATTGGGAACTCCACCGCTTCCGTAAGACACGATTTAAAAAGGAAATTCTCCATTATAAGAGAAAAAGCTTGTGGGCAACTGGAGAATGGATTCCAGATTAACATAGAAAGAAATTAATGGTCCACAGCATATAATTTGTAGAAACATTGTGCTGTAATTAACAATTATTCTCTCTTGTGGGTCGATGGTAGTGGCTACGAATGCCTCTTCTTGCAAGGCAAAGCTGTCCCTCTCCTCACACTTCATGCAATAAAAAGTTATTCCACTTCTATATAATATTACAAAAAATGATGTTATCTAGCAACGTGAGGTTAAATATCTGTCTATGTATCAGCATATCATATGTCCTATTAAATGAGTCGTAATTTGTTATATTTAACTTAATATGTAATTTAATGTTAGTAATGATGTCCTTAGATTGGTGTTATATATTAGTGATGTTAAATAATGTTATTCTTTTAAATATGGTCTCTTACGTCGTTTTTTGCTCATATTTCGTCTTTCATTAATTTTCATTAAACGTGAATTTCATTTCTTCTCTTTTTATTACTTTTTTCTCAAATTCTTCATTTAGAAAACATTATTTATTAAAATCTAATTTTTAGCTACACCGAATATAAGCTAAATGTAAAATAATCTCTATTTTAAATAATCAAATATCGAAATGAGACTCCAATTGATTATTTATTTAAATTTTTAAAATAGAGTGAAATTCACTCTCCATTTGTATTTTATAATGATTGCCTTTAGTAAATAACAAGTTTCAATGCTTCATTGCTATACTATTCAAATATATATTATTGTTTGAAAATGGAGAGGAAACAATACGTATAGTAGTTGGAAAAAGGAAAAGAGATAGATAGTGTGTTTAAATTTAAAGACTCTCTCGATGGATGGCGGCAACCCTACTCTCAATCAGCATAAATTCGGCCGTGTTTTTCGGGGAAGTAGGAAAATATTTTTCACTTTCCACTTTTTTGGTTGTTTGATAAGCGAAATTTTTCACGGAAAATATTTTCCGGATTTTCCTCACACGTGTGCATTTTTTCGATTTTTGATGAAAATGTTTTCCCGCCTTTTTGGTGGGAAAATATTTTCCCGGCTGGCTAAATTTTTTTTTTTTTTTTTT